ACACCTATAAATATGTGTGGAAATCCTTGGCTCCAAACCCTCCAAGCATCCAAGAAACATTTCAAGAAAACAAAATGTAGTAGTCCCTCTAAAGTGTAAGTTCTTCTCAAGTGATCTTAATGAAAGTAATGTTTTTTCACACATAAAAAGTCATGTTGAACTTATGGTTGGCAAATGGAAACATACTTGTGGATCCGGTTGGACACATAAGGATGTTGATGCCCCCATCCATTTAGGATTGTTTGGTCTGGTTTTTTTTTATGGTGAGGTTCGTTAGCTGTTTCTCAAGGTTTGTTGAAACTTTATTTTTTGTTTCTACATCACTTTTTCTTCTTATCCACGACATTATTCTTAAATCTATTTCATTTGTATATGTAGGGTCAAGGATTCAAAAACCACTGGCCATGGACTTGTACATTAACAAAATATGAAAATTTAAGTATACGACCCCAACATGTTTGTCAGGTTTTTTAGAACAACCTTATGTTGAAAAATACGGGTATATCATAAAAAAATGAGAACATGAGAAACAAAACATATTATCATTACAAAGGGATCACTACTAACAAAGGGTTAGAGACACAGTCCAACCAAACATGTATGATACTTGAGTTGAGTTACAAACTACAAAGATCACCAAAATCGATTATTAGTAATCTTCTTTCAGCTTCTATGAAATCTTGCCTTGAATTAAGGTGCTTGGTTTGTGACTATTCCCATTATTGAGAAAAGGGCAATCACTTTAAAAAAATATGCAAGGGAGCGTAACTTTACCTGTTAATTCATACACGTTTTATGTAAGAAATTAAATTACCAAAATCGATTATCAGTAATTTTCTTTCGGCTTCTATGAAATCTTGCCTTGAATTAAGGTGCTAGATTTGTGATTATTCCCATTATTGAGAAAGAGGCAATCACTTTAACAAAAATATGCAAGGAAGCGGAACTTTACATATTAATCCAGAGACGTTTTATGTATGAAATTTATTTTTTACCTTGAAATAAGGTGCTAGTTAATGTTTCTTGTAAAAAATTGAAGTTTGTGATGAGACAAAGTTTTAAGAAAGAATGTTTGACTACTGGAAAAACAATATTCAAGATACCACTAACCAATAACCATAACAATGAAAAATGATAATGAGTTATGCGGTTTGGTTTCAAAACAACAAGGAAAAGAATCGAGTACTTACAAACTTTAACTAAAACAAGGACATAAGTACCATGGTGTTCAAATATTGATATTAGATGGTTGAAGTTATCATAACTTATCTCCTATGATTCTTGATGTTTTCCTTCGATCTTAACTTGAAATCTAATGCAGGAGTTCACATCATCATGATCTGAAAAACACAAATGAAAGACAATTATGTTATGAACTGACTAATAAAACAATTTCAATAATAGATTCAAACACAAAAGCCTCTAATATTACTCGAATCAATAAGAAAAAGGGATAGTTTGGCAAATTTGAGAAGCCGCTCTAAAAAAGGAATAATCCTCTAAAACAAACAAGATGCCTATCCCTAATTATTCCTAGTACTTATAAGGTAACCCTCAAACTTAAATTACACCTAAAATACCCTTCTACTATAGGAGATTCCCTAATGATGTTGATTTCCCATCTTACCCCCTTCTATAAAGCTTTGCTTAAGTGAATGTATAAGACATTAATAAATAGAAAAGAAAATCTTATAGGCAACAAGGGCGACATTAATTAATAAACTTAGTTTCTTCTGAAGTCCTACATAAAATATATAACAAAGATAAAGTTGAAAATATAGAGAAAATATCAGGGCTTTTGATGAAAATATATAACAAAAATAGTACACAACATGTTTTCAATTGACGTACTTTCAAAAGACCTACCTCTTGTTTCATCTTTATAAAGGAGTTGATGTCTTCCTCTACATAATACGAGCCAAAACTTGTTTCGATTCCTTTTAGCTCCGGAGTAAACAAATTTCCCGTGGTGAAAGTCATTATTGATGGGCGTTTTTGGATGGTCAAAGTATCAAATAATGGGAATGAAAAATCCATCTTCTCCATGCAAAATCCCTTGAGACATCGAAGTTTATCAAGTTTTAAGGACTTGAAACGAGGTAACACAATTTCATTCATTTTTCCATCAGATTCCTCCTCCTCTTCATCTACAACAAATACCTCCTCCATATTCTCGCAATCAAATATGTGTACTCTTGGAGTTGAAATAGACTACCAACCATGGAACTCCTAAAAGCATATTGTAAACTATAACAGCCATCAATAGAGACTCTTGTTAGGTTTGGAAACTCAAATATTTTCCACTGATTGCTCTTCCATATATGCTTGAGAGAAGATAGACCCATCAACTTCACTTGTGTTAGGTTTGGAATTTTGACAAAAGTAGTAGTTTGCGGCGATTCATCAAAACCATTGTTTATCACTTCCAACGCTTCAAACACATCCTCTACCAAATTATAGTAGATTACCTTAATCTTTTCCAACTTTTGCAGTTGTAGCAACTCATTAGATGGGATAATCTTTTTAACAGATCTATCAAATGCCACATGTAATTCGATCAGATTATGAAAAGACCAAATGTTTGATATCTTCTGAAGTAATAGCAGCCGGGCACCAGGAGCTTGTATGTTCTAAACTCGGGAATGGGGTCTACAAGCCAAAAAAATAAAATAAAAAAGAATATCATATAAGGCAATCAACTCCACTATAACCAAAACTAGTTTCAGTAGTAGGGGTTGTCACATGAGAATTAAACCAACTTCCACGAGGATTATATTTGCCTAAACTTGTTTCTACATAGTTGGGTTGTGGAGCTTTTGAACCACCGGCTGTGAACACCTTCATTTGTGGGCAGTCCTTTATCATAAGATTATCCAATGAAGGCCACCGGAACTCATTAGTCCCTAAAAAGAAACCCACCAGCTCTGTTAGATACTCTAGTTTAATACGCTTTAGATGAGTAAATACCACAACCTTAGAAAAAGATGCCTTTGTTGTTTTCTCTACTCCATCATCTTCTTCCTTCACCACAATCACTTTCATTGCCTGTAATTCTCTATCCATAACTCTTCAAGTTGTACAAAGTTTTCCAGTGTGGAACAGGTGAATATATGTTCCAAAAGGTTACAACCCTTGATATTCAATATCTTTAGGTTGGGAGGTTCAAACATAACAATACTCTTGTTAATCCTTTCTACTTTTTCAAACACCTCCTTCATCCCATGTCAAGACTTTATTTCCAACACTTGAAGCTTTTGCATCTATCCTGCTGCATAACATGGAATCATACTTGATAATGCATCATAATATTATATATTTATCTCTCTAGGGTATTGGCATAAGGTCCAAGATACACCATCCACTTGAGAAAATTGCAGTAAATGACAAAAGGAGAGAGATGAAGTCACATAGAATAGAAACGAGAATTGAGGGAGAAAGATAAAGGGAGGATACGGGGGGTGGGGGTAGGTTTTGTTTAATGATTTAATGTATATAATAATTAAAATATAATTCTAAAAGAAATTAAAAAATATCATTTAGGGCAAAATAGACATTTTAACTCGATCGTAGACTGTCATTTAGGGACATGTTGCGTTACTTAATAGAAATCTGAGTTTCATATTGTAGGAAATACATATACACATACATGAATAACTAGGAATCTGATTATGAGCAGTAAAAATTTCAATCTCTTGTGTGTTCAAATGAATGACACTTTTATGCCTTCTAATCTTATTGTTGGGTTTGTATAATTAAAAACTAATGAGTCAATTACATGCTCTAACTTTTTCAATATCTTCTGGTCATAGGGTCTGTTGTATTTTTCTAGAATATGATTAGCATCAGGAGGATATTCCAAAAAGAAAACCACTACTAGAAAAACAGCCTTTTACGACGCGCAATGCGTGTCGTAAAACGCTCAGACGACGTGCAAATGCGTGTCAAGAAAGGCCCTGTCATAACGAGAAACGACACGCTTTTGCGCGTCGTAACCTTACGACGCGCATTTACGGCGCACAATGCGTGTCAAGGAAGCCCCTTTCATAAAGAAGATGACACGCATTCGCGTTTCGTAAAACGACGCACATTTACGACTTGCATTGCATATCATTAAAGCTCATGCCATAAAGAAAGGCGACATACAATTTTGCGTGTCATAAAGTTTAAATGTTTAAAAATCATATATATTTTTTGTAAATTTACTAATTTTCAAATTACATCACACATTTAATGTCTCATAATATAAAATAAAATTTCATACACAAAAAATAAAATAAATTGCACAAATTATAATTTCATGTAAATAATCATTCAAATGTTAAACAAAAATAATACATTACTAACATGGGTTATACATTCCTATAAAACTAACAACTCTCGGCGACCTTGATCTGGATCGAGGTCGACTTGGATCGATGGCGGCGATTGGATTTTAGATACACAACATGATTACTGACCTAAGACCTTGTGCAACAAGTACATCCCATGCCCTATTTCTAGCAACCACCACACGTTTTAGTGTCTCAAGGGCTAGTATACTTCCTCCTTGCCATCCAATAACTTTCATTGACAATGGAACCACCTGTAATTTATTAAAAAAAACAAGGTCAAAATTGAAAACTAAGTATGCCCTTGCTCCTTTTTTCCCCTTAACATGTTGAACTTAAACAATTAAACGCCCATTATGTATTCAAGGGTAAAATGGTAAAAAACTCACATGGGCAGTGCGATGGATCATTCTATCTAGTAACTCCTGGAGTAACTTATGATGGCATTATTGGAGGTGAGACTTCTATAATTCTATCAAAGCAGCAGAAAGGAAAGACTTTGTGTTTTCTTGTAAATCTGATTGTTCTTCGTGTGATAATTTGTAAGGTGACTCTTTTAGTATCATGTTCAAAGCAGAAATGGCTAGGATTCTTGTTTGTGGAAGTTGACTTTTTAAATTCTTTAGGAAATGACCAGCTGCTTCAGTGAGAATCTTTGATGATAAATTTGGTTCATTTCTAGATGACATAGCCAATAACATGAGAACCCTATTTGCCATCAAGCTATTTTGGATGATAAAAAAAAAGTATTTTTTTTACTGTTATTAAAGCATTGTAATTTCCATTATTTTTTTTACTAACACAATGATTATAGCATTATACTCTCAGTTTTTCTTATTAAGACAAATTGAAAGTATGATTCTATAATAAACAAGAAAATGAAAGTACATTGTTATTTATTGCAATTAACCATTATATATATATATATATATATATATATATATATATACCTCAAGAGTCTCGAATCCCCACACTGGGAAAGCACTTTTATGTGCTTTCATCATTCTCTCCAGCATATCTGATAATAAAAAGTGGGAAGAATTTAAGCTTTCAGAAATCACCAAAAGCAACATTAAACCAGAGTTTGAATACCAACAGATGAAGATTTTGGTTATCAGTGATAACTAAAACACACTTTTAGTGTATAAGTTTACATATGAAGATACATTATTTTACATGTTGAACTAATGTTACCTGATCTTCTTCGCCATTCAACAACTAGAGACATTTGTTCGGTATGAACATGTAATTCTTGTTTGTGGTTAGACTTTAGCTTCCATAAGTTTGCTTGCGTTCTTGTATCTGTATATTGTCTTCTGATATTGCAAATAATGTTATCTGCAACATAAAATAGATTAATCAGGAACCAAACAGAGGAGAATTCTTTTGAACTAAACAGGAATTTGGAGGACTGGTTACTGAATTCGATAAAGCTGTATGAAACAATTTAAAAAAAAATTAACACATGTTTTGCTGAGTTGAAATAATCATATATTCATGTGTGTATATAGACCAGAATAAACTCATAGAACTTATCTCGGAAACCAAAGATACAAAGCTCCCTTGTCAAAAATAACCCCCAATAACAACTGATACCATTCCCTAGTAAGCCCACCTGATATCATTCACATGTTTTCAATAAGTATATTTTCAATAGTTGACTGACCATAGTTGACCAAGAAAATGATGAAAATAGCTTACTTTCAAGAATCAAGAATCACAAAAGTGTGAGATGAGGGAAAAGTTAATGGACACAAAAAGTTATCTAATATTGAAAAAAAAATAAGAATAATAATTTAAGATGCTAAACTCACCAACATCTACTTTTATCAGGTGAGTTAACTGTTAATAAGTGAAGAACTTAAAGTAAATAATACTATCTTCAAGAAAAAATTCAAATATCTCACCATTAGGAGAATAGATACTGAGATATATATATGAACTGATGAAATCTGTTTGCTTCGTCCTGTCTCACGATTAGTCTCATCAGAGATTTCCTTCCTCACAGCAGCTGCACAAGAAAAACAATAAAGATATGTTTATTGATTATACGAATCTTCAAGAATGTATGCCCTGAGAAAGCAGTGACATGAGTTCATGTAGTTTGACCAAACTATGGGGATTTACATTTACTTACCAGTGCCCAAAATAACCAAATATTGACCTTCTCCTCTAGAGGAAATCCAATATTCTATTGAATCTTTGGGAAACAAAAACTAGTTAAAACAACATTAACCAATAAAGATTATTCTATTAATTTATACTAAATCTGAAATATAATTAGAACAGGTTTTTTTGCTCACCTGTTACTAAGAACGGTAGCCAGAAATTTCAGCTGTCCCGGGCAGAGGGTAGGAATAAACCATTACGAAACCATTAAATACAACTTCAAATCATTCACGAGGATTAGAAGAAGCCTGTTGTCAATTGAAGCTAGTTACTGCACTTCCAAATCAAAATATTTGTAACCAAATAAGAATGTTATGAAAATTATTATAAAAATGAAAAAACAAAACCATACGTTGAAAAAAATGAAATTGTGAAAGACAAACAGAGACCTTTCTTTCTCTCTTCAAATTGGCAAGAAACTTCCATATTTCAGTTAGCATGAAGGCGTAACAGTTTAAAGTCGCTTTGTTCTGGTTACCTCCTACCTCCCCTGATGCTTCTTCCCCCTCTGGCTACTGTTTGGTTATTAACAATAACCCCTAATCAAATAGAATATAAAGATGAACTGAATCAAAACAGTTAAAACAATATATGGGTTAGTAAACCCTAACCAAATTTCTAGAGAACAACGGAATCAGTTAGTGGATTCGGCATAGTCTTCTACATTTGCACCAAGTAGAATCACAAAGTGAAATACGTTTTGCTGTAATTGCAAGAACAGATAGCATATATATCATCTTACAAAGTGAAAGCATCAAAACTTTTATCCTTTTGTCTAGTGAACAAGATAGAAGACATTGGTCCAACAAAGAACCAATATGACATCAGATATATATATATATATATATATATATATATATATATATATATATATATATTGAACCATGAATCGCTGGTTTTCATTCCTCTTCAAGACCAATCCCTACAATACCTAATAAATAAGGGATATCAACTATGAAGCACCAACATGCAAACCCTTGAATTTGCAAGCATCATAAAGCATAGATAATACAATAATAAATTAAATTCAAACCTCACCTGAAGCGTTGTCTAGAGAGAGAAGTAGCAAAAAAAATAAGGAGATGAAATTTGTATATATGCAAATCAATATAAAAAGATTACATTGAAACCCACATCAGGAGCTGGCGACTGAAGCTATTAATAGACAGTATTAACAGAGGCTGAGTCGGCAAACGGAAGTAGAGGTGGAAAGGGCACGTTTCATCGACGCTTCAAACCAACTAGCTTTGGGGAAACACTCCACCACTGTCAAGAAGGAAACCTCACCGCTAGGTCGGTGTCGGTATTACCTGATTTAGGGTGAGTAAGCAGCAAAGAAGAAGAGGTGTCGATTAAAGGGGATGTAAGAGTAGAAAGCATCATTGGGAGAAACTCCACCGGCCAAAAGGAAAACCCACCACCAAGTCTTCCGTCTCAACGTGATGTCAGGCTGACTGGAAGCAAGCAAGAAGGCAGCTTTCATCAGAAAATGACATCGTTTCGTGAATCACATTATCATGTGAGGCTGATGTAGGGTTGAGAGGAATTAAGCACACAAGCATCCACTTACTGATGATACTGATTATCCAGACTGGCCTTGGAAAACGACATCAACGGAGGTGAAGGGAACGCATAAAGAAACCCCTGTGAAAGAAAAAGCAAGAGTCGATTTGAAGTAACCAACAAATGAAATTGAAAGGTAGAGGCGCTACACTCTTTTTTTTGTTCTTGTCACCACACATCAACATAGAGAAATCGAGAACCCCTGCGGGTTTGATCTGTTCAAAAGACGGGATCAGAGATTTGGTGATATTGCAATTTTGTTGTGGGAGAAAAGAGGATTGGTGATGATGTTAGGGTTTTTTTGGGTATTAAAGTGAGAGAGAGAGAGATAGAAAAGAATGATGGAAATAAGATAGAGAATAACAATGGCGGCCTTTCAAACTTTTGGGATTTTCGTTTCCCCCAGCTGCAAAAGAAGAGAACGCGCCTTTCATTAAAAAAATATAAAGCGACATTTCTAGATGACGCCCATTTTTTAATTAAGTGACCTCCGTGTTTTTAATTTTTTTGCTGGACATTAAATTTAGGGCACGCACAAAAGCGTGTCCTTTATCCTTCAAATTTTAGAAGAGATGACATTATTTTTAGGGCACACGCTTTTGCGTATCGTAAAGCACCGCGTGTCATTGTTTGCGCGTTATTAAAGAGCTGTTTTCTAGTAGTGAACGGATTTAAATAAAAAAATTGAATAGTAGCTGAAAATGTTAAAAACGTACCTTATATTGATGAAGAAAGGAGGTATTTGTAATGGTACTGCTGAAAGATATTTCATTGTTCCCAGTCTTGGCACCACCACCACCAATACACTTGAGATTTCGCAGGCCATATAAATTGAGAGAATCAAGAAGAGGGAAGAGAGTGGTGCTTGTTGTGTGGGTAGATGTAGATGGAGATGTTATTTTTTTTCTTCTTCTTGTTCTTCACCATCTCTCTTTAAAACCACTTCTTCAATACCATCACAATCTTTTATCTCAACTTTCTTTAGGCTGGAAAGGAGCTTTGCCATGAGAGGTGAAAATAAGTACTTAATGCTATGACACCTTCTCATTTCTATGGTTGCGAGGTTGTGAAATGGAGATTCTGACTGTTGTTTCTGAATGAATTAAATTCATTCCAGTTGCACTTACACACGTGACTCATCCCCTCCATATCACTTATTTCCAAATTCTCAAGGTAGGGAAGTATATGTTGTTGATTATCCTGACTTGTTGGAGTACTCTTGATCTCAAATATCACCTCTACTCCTAGATATCTCCCCAACTTAAGATTATGGAGATTATGAAATGAGTGTGTGAGACATGATGGGAATAAAGTATTCTGCACAAATATCCCAACAAGAAATGTAATTAGTAACTATAATAGTCAAGCTAAAGTCGAATACCTCAACGATTTGTAACTGTATATCTATTCACAAGTCCTTTTCTTAAAAATTAAATTTGAGAAGGATTATTTTGATTTTAAGTATTCCTTCAAGGAATATCTGGTCAACAATTTTAAGAACATTCCTACTAATTTTGTCCTTAAAAGAGTGAATTTTTTGTTATTTGAATAAAAAATCATGAAAAGCTTCATTAGTTCCTACCCACCAAACAAAAGTTGGGTATCTATTGAAGAAAATGTGAAATCTTTTCAAAAAAGAGACGGAGTTGGTAATTTGTTTTGATAAGCAACAGTAGTTTGTGAAATGCAAAAATAAATGCATTAAACCATACCTCTTGCCCTGAGCTACTTTCAACCGATCCATATTTTCTTCTGATTCCATCCGAATCATCTATTTTCATGTAGATAAGTGCCCCGAGATCAAAATCGGTGGTAATAGGTGAGAGAAAATTTCTAAATCTTTTACAACTCTCAATACTTATGCTTTCAACAACTTGAAAGCAACGGATAGGGAGACAAGAGTTATTTTCACCACCTTTTATCCTCCACACCTCCCTTAGCTTCCTTAATTTCTCTACTTCAATGTTTCTCAAACTGTTGATGTTGCCGCCTTCTCCAGTCTCACCAATGCAATCCAAGTCGATGTTAAACAACGATTCAACGGAACCAGAATCCTTGACTTTAAACCCTTCAAGCTCACACAACAATGGCATGGGATTGCATGGAAATATATTCACAAGATTTTCACACTCAACCACTTCAATCTCTCTCAACTTAACTTTCTCACTCGTCCTAAAGTCACAAGGCCATATCTCCTCCAAACCACCCATATGCTCAATGTATAGTTTCTCCAACTTAGGAACCAAAACCTAAAAAATAATGAAGTTCTGTTTATAGCCCGTTAAAAACTATACACCATGCAATCAACTTACAAATAAATTTTCGTATATATTTCACCGGTTATTAAACAAAAAACACCATGTGAATGCAACCTCTTTTGAAAATTCTAATTGAAAAGATTGTTTGAATTGTATTAACATAAAAACATATTTACATCTTCCTTTAAGGAGCAAGATGTTGCCAGCTTATTCTTGGAATAAACGCTTGTGATATTTGGAATTCCGCTGATTCTCAACTCCTTGAGTTGTGGTAGCGCAATTATGTTGACATTCTGGCACAAATCCAATAACTCTGGTAGCCCACTCAACAATAGAAGCTTCAACTTGGGGAATGTAATTGTCTCTTCTCCTCTATCCCCGTTATGTATGAGTTCTTTCATAACAGGGCAATCACAAACCTTGAGATATTCAAGATTTGACAGAGTTTTTGCAACACTGAGTGTAAAAAGTATCTCAACTCTGCACACTCTGAAACAACAAGGATTTTTAAATTGCAGAACGAAGAGGACTGAGGATGCAGTGAAGACTTCACCTCAACATCTTCAAGATCATTCATATCATCCACACTTAAACACAGCACCACCGTTTTCTCAAATAACTCGTTAATTCTAGATCCCATTAGTTCACCTTTTTGGGTTACCAACTTCAACGTGTTTTCGAAAGAGTGCTTTCTTGTTATGAAATCATAATCTTCGTTTAAAGAACCTCCCATCGAGACCTTGAATCGTTCAAGATTCTCAAATGATAGATTCTTCCAATGAGCATCATTTTCAAAGATGTCGAATTCCAGAAAGGTTTTTCCAACGTTCAACCACTTCATTGCAGTTATCACCTTTAAAGTTGATGGTCTCTCCATGATAATCAAAAGGGCATGCATAGAGCTCTTCAAGTCTGACCAAATTTTTAAATACACCATTATCTATACGAAGACCGCCACAACCTGTCACATCCAGTACCCTTAATTTCTTCAAATTTCTGATTGTTGAAGGTAGAGATCTAATGCCAGATTTAGCAAAGCTGAGCACTGCCAGATTCGAAAGGCTTCCAATAGAAGAAAAATCAAACATCAATGAGCATCGGTGGAGACGAAGCACTCGAATGTTGGTGGAGCTTCCAAACATCATCCAGTATTACGAGGAACTTACTTTCACCTCCCTTTAATTTGGCCTCAAACCCTTGACGAAGTTCGTCGACTCTTACCTGTTTAGCTTGGTCCTTTAGCTGTATACCCAGGTAACTTGCTATAGATTCCTGAATAGCATTGATGTCCGGATTTTCCCCTACAACAGCCATAACAAAATAACTGAACATTTTCTTTTCAACTACAGTCTGCCTCAGCTTCTTCATCATAGTGGTCTTCCCCACTCCGCCCATCCCCCATAAGGCTACCATATGAGGTTTGTGGTCGGGTCTGAGTGCTTTCAGTGCTTCTGTAAAAGTATGCACTCTTGACTGGAAGTCATTGTGATCACCTGATGGTGTAGAGGTGGATGCATGGTGGAATCAATTCTTCCCAAAGGAATTTTCTCATCAGTCCATTTGATCAGAGAGAGTTGTGTTGTGATACTATCTATCTCGTTGATTATCTTGGAGGCTTTGCTTCCAAGTTTGTGCCTACTATTGAAATCGAGACAACCGAGGTCTTTAGTTGGAAAGTTTTCCACTTTTGCATTAATATTTTGTACTTTGTCCAACCAAGGGCTAACCTGGTCAGGCACCATAAGACGTATTCTTATGTTCCGGTCCAAGTGCTCTTTTTCGCAAGCTCTTGCAACATCCAAATAGTACATTTTCGTATGCATCTCGACCACATATTTTCTGTAGGAAATCATGTAGCCCAGATGCTTTTTAACAGGATCCATGAGAACCTGAACAACTTGTTTTATTATTTCAGTAGCGACATCCATTGCTGAAAATTCCCTCTTGTCGTAAAACCTGCATACATGGCATAGTAGCCAACAAGATAACAAAGGGAATTTGAGGGTACTCTATAATCAAGCCATTATATGCATCATAAATTCATTTCATCGAGTATGGTTGTATTAGCTAGCTTTGGCCCATAGACCGATAATGTAATTGTAACCTATAGAAAGTGTCGATCTCATAATCTACGGCTAAAGTTTTGATAATTTTATAGAAAATGATGGAAATAGAAATTAACAAAATGGATTTTCAATATGGTCAGCTTTTTAGGGATTATTTATTATGATTTAAAAAGAAAATCCAAAAACATATATGAAGTTTGAATGATTAAGAGAAGATTAATATTTAAAAGTTTTACATAAACGTAGCGGGTAAATGATAGACCCTGATACATTTCTTGAATTGATAATCAAACTATGATAATATTAAGATGATAATCCTGTTCATTCGATAGGAAAGGACTCTCCAAAGAAGAACAAAGTTCTTAACAATATAATTCTTAGCTCCCTAAACAATAACCTCAAAAGGGAAATAAATACGAGACAGAACTGTGGTCCCAAAAAAAGACCTGGGACAAAGATAGCGGTCCCATATAATCACATAGAAACTCATAAAGAGGAAACTACCCCTGGACCCAAAACAAGCAATCAAGGATGAGTTGAGGCTTATAGTAAACCAGCAACAAGTTGTGCTGCAACCCCTTTTTAGATGGCAAAACTGTTTTTTTAAATACAACATATTTAAATATTTACTTATTATATAAATATAAAGAAAAACAAAACATAAACATATGAAGTTGCAGTAAGCACAGTCCACGCTTGTCAATGTTTTCACCAGCCTTCATTCCAAACCAAAGTTTATTTTAATAGAAAACGACAACCAAGTTGGCCACATTAGCTTTTGTTCTTTGATATTTATATATATATTAAAACAAAGTTTATCCTAGTCATTATTTGCGTTTAACATCTCTCTCGTCATCTAGGTTAAAATGAAAAAGATTCATGTTAATGACCATTACCATGTCTGAGTCTACCAGGAATGTTATCCGGATACAATATTTTCATAGTTTTAGTTGGGCAGATTTTCCAAAGTATTGTCCTAACAAATAAAAAATGAAACTACAAATGGGATAGATCGATTTTTCAGTGTAAAATGCATTATTATGAAATTAGAAATTGAAAATACAACTTTGTAATAGAGAAAAATAAAAGTAAGATGCAGGTTATATAACATACATGAAAGATACTGTGTTGCTATTTATTGCATTCAACTCTTCTTATGTATATCAACCATCATTAAAGAACTTTTACGTCAAGTGTTATGTAGAAATTGACATGGACTCTTTTCATGCACATTCTGCTCAATCAACATCAGATATTGTTTGGGCTTACCAGTTGTTCACTTTTCAGCCTAACAATATTAGATGACTAGAATTCCTAACCATCAACATGCTGTGGCAGATCCATGGGAAAAAGCAAACCTGAGTCCATAATATACTTATAACATAATATAAAATAAAATCTAAAATGTCGATATGTTTTTTTCAAAAATCTTTCCATTTTGTAGTTAAATAATCAAGTTATTAACAAATAACAGTGGAACTAACAATCCCGGTTAATATAAAATATAAACTAGCAATTAAAATAAGCAATTAACAATTTGAAACTAATAAATAACAACTAAATAAGAAAAAAAATCTTCCAGGTTTGCTTCTGCGTTTCCATAAAATGTGAAAGAATTCCAAATACATAACTCTTAAAACTAATAAAATAACAATAAATAGAAATAACCATTAAAACTAAAAAATATGAACAATTAACAATAAGAATTACCTCAATGTTTCTTAACTGGGTCCAGGGAAATCAGAGAGAGGCCAACAGCAGGAAAATGATGTATCTCTCCTAGAGGGAGAGACAAATCGGTGACTAGGAGAGAGGAACAGATGAGAGATAAGAAGAGAAGATGTTTGGCTATAGACTATATAGACTAAGAAGTGAGCATTATTGTCTAAAATCTCAAAACAGGAAATTAAAATGGGACAGCTGTAGTGTAGTAAAGATTTGAATATTGGGATATTTATGAAAAGAGCAAACTGCAAAAATGGTCCCTGTTTTTTGTAACTTTTTTTAAGAAAATTCCAAAAGGTTTCCAACTTGCAAATACTGTCTTTTTTTTTTTGACAAAGATTTGTTGTGTTTAATCTCTATCAAACTTAAATCCTTTAATTTATTTATTACATTTTTAATACTTATTTTAATATTTTATATTAAGAAAATATTTATTTAAAAAAAATCCTATATCCCACCCCCACCTCTTTTACTCTTCCTCATGCCCTGTGAGCATATGGTCCGGAAAAACCGAATTGAACCGAAAAAGCTGACCTATCTCGTGAGGCTTTTAACAAGGACAACCTCTTTTTTGCTATTGGATGCATAACTAATGTGCAAACAACGTGGAGACACAAAATTATTGGATTACCTTTTTCTAGCATAATTAAAAGCTAAAATACCCAAACTGCCCTTCCACTACCAAAGATGCTTTTTATTTGCTGATATTCCCATAATTAATACCCCCTTCCTATCATGGGAGACTGAAGTTGATGTGTAGCAATACCCTACCCCAAAAGATTCACCTTGTCCCCCACAATCCCACTCTTTTGTGTCTCTTGCAATTTGCTTTTCATTGTAGAGCTTCATTCTTATTCTCAAATGACCAATATGTACAAGCTGGTCACTATGAGTGTCTCATCAATGTCAAATCATTTCAATGAAAACAGGGAACTACTCCTAAAATGCATGGCATGGTTTCTAAGGTGTTGTTTGTTTTTTCTAAAAAACCACTTCTGACCACTTATTGTTGCGCTGTGCAGCACTTGGCCCTTCGCAGCTGTTTGTTTTTCAGAAGACTTCAGACTTAAAAATTGTTGCGCGTGTGCTGCGTGACGCAACACTGGACCCTCTGTTTCAAATCTCTTCACACCTTACTTTAACTTATTGCAGCAGTCTGCAGAGGTTAAAAAACAAACAGACTTTTTATTACATGCTGCAGCCATTTGGTCTACCTCTTCTGCTACATAGGGTTACAGAGGTGGTCCGCAGACTTCAGACATTTTCGTTTCGAAAAAAGAAAACAGCACCTAAATGAAGTTCCTTCCAACCCGGGATGCCCCACACTCTTCCCAGTTTCAACCATACCCTTCACATTGGCTTTCCCAAAAGGAAGCTTCTCTATCAGCTTTTGATTTGCGTTTGGCCTAGCGTTGACTTCTTTGATGCTCCAACCAGCAATAACTTCACTGACAACTCACACATTTCCTCAATAATAGATCTGTTTCACCACTGTATCAATTTTACTCTTCTTCTTGCTATACCCTACATTGTTTTGGGTTTCCATCTTTGCAATCAATGCCCGAGTCTTGTTCACACGACCTCTCTTACGAATTACAATGGGTTTTCAAAATCAAATTCAAGTATTTTACACTTTTTCCTTACAAAAACCTCGAGCTTATAAGGAACTTATCTTCGTCATTTTTGTTATCTAGCATAACAAAGAGTATCCAAATTAAGTGATTTTTCAGTAGGGGTGTAGTTCTGCTGTTGCAGCATTTTATCATACAGTTAGAGTGCATTGTCACCAATTCCCCTTTCATCTTGGGTTTTATATTTGCCAGCTTTATGGCCTGAAGAAGGATGACTTTATGATGGCATGAGCACAGTGGAGAATATCTGATGGCAGTGGCGAATCTAGAAGTACAAACCACATGGTTCCTTGTATAAATAAAATGAAAAAGAGTAAAACATATTAGTGGTGGTGGGTCGAGTTGTATGGACGACTGAAGGTGAGATTGATCGATCAGGCTAGTGAGAACGTGATGCGAGGCGTCCATCGTTTTGAGATGTCGATCAATGATCACGTTCTCCGAGCGACGTTTTGTTAGGCTTTGTTTTTGTTTAATTTAAATTGGATTGGTTTATTTCCTAAATTTAAAGTGAATTGATGCATTAGCTTATTCCATAAAATATTGGCCGATAATTTTTTTTTTGTCAAACCTAACAGCAGAAACTTGAGATTTGAGAAAATATGTTCAAGTGTTTCTAGCACAAAAGTTTTGTGAGATTTTAGCAATTGCGATGATGGTGACAATATTCATAACTCTTAAATGAATAATAGACAAAGTAATAAAAAAATATTACCATTGTACTTTATTATATAACTTCTAAAAGAATTTTGCTGTTGCAGAAAAATAAAAAATAAAATAGTATACACGTAAATCTTCTAGATTTTTTTTGCAACTACAAAGGGTGTCTTAGAAAAATGAATCAAAACTAAAATAGTTATAAATGTTAATGAAGATATATATATATATATATATATATATATATATATATATATATATATATATATATATATATATATATATATATATATATATATATATATAATGACATTAATTCTTTAGGCTTCTAAAACTCACAGAGAAAAAAGCAACCATGCAACCATGGTTTAGAAAATCGACTGAGGCGTAACCCTCAAGGCGCCATTAATATTAATGCATAAGAAACTAGAACTAAAACGGAGGGAAAGAATGTTGGAACCAGCCCTCTGTGAACAAACCCACTACAAAAAGAAGATATATTATAATAACAAAGTAAAGCAGCACTTTGCTGCGTGATCTACAGGAAGGAGAACATAAAAATAAAAGAGGCAAGAAGATGAGCCAACTTTCACATCTTATTTTCTGCTGGATATAATAGAAATTACACACGCTAAAAATGACACCTAATCCTAGCTTATAAAAGAGAACTAGCCAAGAAAAAAGGAGAAAATAACAAATAATCCTCAGCTCTTGCAAACTACAGACAACATGGCTTTGTCCTGATCAATCAAAGAAAACATAATGACCAAACTACCCTTCTTATTTACACCAACAAAGAATTGAGTACTAACTAGAACTAAAAGATGAACATAAGTAACGTCTTTTTCAAAGTCAGATATCAAATGGTTGAAATTATCATAACTTATCCTCTTGATTATGATTTAGTTCACAGAGATCTCAATTGTAATTCAATGCAAGAGTCGACCTCACCATGATCTGAAAAACATGAATAGAAGGCGCCATTAATGCAAAAGAAAAAAGGTTTTAGGCATCAAGGACTATGTGAAAATAGAATCTACCTTTGATAATAACTTGCCATTAGTAACATTTTTTATAATGCTGCATAAAACACGTAATAGATATAAAGGTGAAAATACAGAGAAAATAGTCGGGGCTTTTGATGAAAATATATAACAAAAATCATACAGGACATCTTTTCAAATGCACTTTAAGAATACCTACTTGTTGTTTCATCTTTATAAAGGAGTTGATGTCTTCCTCCACATAAAACCAGCCAAAACCTGTTTCGATTCCTTTTAGATCTGGAGCAGCAGAATTTCCCGTGGTGAAAGTCGTTATTTTTGGGCATTTCTGGATCGTCAAAGTATCCAATAATGGGAATGAAAAATCCTCCTTCCCTAAGAAAAACCCCTTGAGACATCGAAGTTTAGAAAGTTTTAAGGACTTGAGACGAGGGAACACAATGTCATTCGTTTTGCCATCAGATTCCTCCTCTTCTTCTACAACAGTATCTATCTGTGTCCTTAACGATTACCTCCTCCATCTTGTGGCATTTAGATATGCTTAGCTCCTGAAGTTGCTTTAGGCTACCAGTCATGGAACTACTAAAAACATATTCTAACCTACCACATCTCTCAATACAGACTCTTGTTAGATTTGGAAACTCAAATAATGTCCATCGATTACGTGCATAAAGTTCTAAGGACTTTGGACGACGAGGTAACACAATCTCATTCATTTTTCCATCAGATTCCTCCTCCTCTTCTTCTACAACGAAATTTCCGTCCTGAACAAATACCACCTCCATGTTATCACAATTAATTATTTGTAGCTCCTTGAGTTGCTTTAGGCTACCAACCATGGCACTACTAAAAACATGTTCTAAACTATAACATATCTCAATAGAGACTCTTGTTAGGTTTGGAAACTCAAATACTGTACTCGGATTGCTTTTCCATATATGATTAAGACAATGTAGCCCCACCAACTTCACTTGTGTTAAGTTTGGAAGATTGACAAGAGTTATTTGTGATTCATCAAAACCACTGCTTGTCCCTTCCAAAACTTCAAATACCTCCTCTACCAAATTACATTCCTTTACCTGAATCTTTTCCAACTTTTGCAATCGTACCAACTCATTGGCTGGAATAATCTTTTCAATAGATCTATCAAATTCCATATGTAATTCAATCAGATTATGAAAAGACCAAATGTTGATCTCTTCTGAAGTAGCAGCAGAGAAGGAGAAGCTTGTACTCTGCAAGGCCAGAAGAGAGGGAATATAATAAGGCAAATGTTGAACAAAAACATTTGGAAAAGTAATAATTAATAATTAAGAGATTAATTAATGTTGGTAACTAAAACAGGTTTAACTTGGGTAACTGCTTTAGTTAGATATGGACAAATGGATTATATAATATTAATTGTAATGTGTTTAAAAATGCTTTGGCATCATGATTTTCTTATTAATCATATAATATATGCATGTGAAATATATATATATATATATATATATATATATATATATATATATATATATATAGATCCGGTAACAATTTTTTTTTGGTAGGAGGTAAGAAGTTTTTTTTCTATATATTTTTTTTACGAACAAAATAAATGAATCACTAGATGATTCATTTGTAAGATGATTCACAAGAAAAAATTCTCAAAAAAACATATTTATGATTCATTTTTAAGTAAATTAAGAATGAATTCACTTTTATGACAATTTTAGTGAATAACAACAAAATCATTGTATAAATGAATCATCGACATGTTTTTTTTGAGAATTTTTTCTTGTGAATCATCTTACAAATGAATCATCTAATGATTCATTTTGTTTGTTCGCGAAAAAAATATGTAGAAAAAAAACTTCTTACCTTCCTACCAAAAATTTCCTTCTTATTTGATCTTGACTCTCTCTCTCTCTCTCTCTCTCTCTCTCTATATATATATATATATATATATATATATATATATATATATATATATTACACACACAATTATACCTCCTTATGATGCTGCCCAGTAGTAGTGGTTGTCACATGAGAGTTAAACCAATGTCCACGAAGATGTTTGCCTAAGCTTGTTTGCACATACTTGAGCTGTGGAGCTGTGGACCCACCAGCTGTGAACACTTTCATCTGTGGGCAGTCCTTTATCACAAGATCATCCAATGAAGGCCACTGGAACTCATGATTTGTCCCTAAAAAGAAACCCACCACCTCTGGTAGTTTAAATAGTACAATGGATTTTAGACGAGGAAAGACCACAACCTTAGAAGAAGATGCCTTTGTTGTTTGCTCTCCATCATTTTCTTCCTTCACCACAATCACTTTCAATGCCTTGCATTTCTCAATATTTAACTCTTCAAGTTGTACAAGGCTTTCAAGTGTGGAAAATGTGAATATATGTTCCAAAAGATCACAACCATCGATTTTCAATATCTTTAGGTTGCCCAGTTTCATCCTAATAAAACTTTTGTTGATCCCTTGAGTTTCAAACATCTCCTTCATCCCATGGCAATACTCTATTTTTAGCATTTCAAGATTTTGCATTTGTCCTGCTGCATACCATGGAATCACACTTGACAGTGCATGACAATCATATATAGTTATCTCTCTAGAGTATTGGCATAAGCTCCAAGAAACACCATTCCCTTGAGAAAACTACAGTAAATAACAAAAAGTTAATGTAAAATTATGTTAGATTATTAACAAATCTTAGTTTTTTGTTACCCACACATACACTGCTTTATGAAAGTATTTTAACTCAACATTTGGTTCTTTGTAAGGAATTGTCTCAATGCTCAACATCACGAAACTGGTTCAAAAACAATGTAGCCCAGGAAGGTGAAACACAAAATTAATGATGTTAAGAAATCATATGTTTAGAACAGGAGGTTGAAACAAAAAGAGAATTTTAATATGGGGTTAAAATTTTGGAATGCAAGATTAACCAGGTTAAGAGAGCGTGTGTTTAGAACAAGAAGCTTATATTTTCTACTTGAAATGAGAAACAACCTGGCCAATGATTTTGTAATACTTTGGTTAATGATGAGATGTTCTTGTATAAGACATATAATAGGAGAAGAATGTATATCATTAGTAGTTGAACATCATGCATAAATTAGAACAAAACTAATATTAGCCATAAATTAATTTGAAGAAATTTATTGACATTTTGTGTTACTTAATAGAAATCTGAGTTTAACATTGTTGAAAATCCATATACTGATATACACATACATGAATAACTCGAAATCCAAGTACAAGCTGTACAAATTTCATTCTCTTGTGTGTTCAAATGAATGATATTTTTTATGCCTTCTAATCTCATCGTTGGCTTTGTATAGCAGCCGATGACTCAATTACATGCCCTAACTTTTTCATTATCTTCTAGGCGGTTTGTTGAATTTTTCTAGTATATGCTTAGTACTAGAAGAATATTCCAAAGAAAAAAAGGATTTTTATAGGGAAATTAAATAGGTAGCTGAATATGTTGAAAACATACCTTATCTTGACCAAGAAAGTAGGTAGTTGTAGTGGTACTGCTGAAAGATTTTTCATTGTTCCCAGCCTTGGCACCACCACCACCACCACCACCACCAATACACTTGAGATTATGCAGGCCATATAAAATGAGAGAATCAAGAAGAGGGAAGAGAGTGGTGCTTGTTGTGTGGGTAGATGTAGATGTTAGTTTTTTTTCTTCTTCATCATCGTCTCTGTTTGAAACCACTTCTTCCATACCATAACACTTGTGTATCTTGACTTTCTTTAGGTTGGAAAGAAGTTTTGCCATGAGAGGTGAAAACAAGTACTTAATGCTTTTGCAATCTTCAATTTGTATGGTTTTGAGGTTATGGAATGGAGATTCTGACAGTTTTCTATGAAGAATTAATAGCTCGTTCCTATTAAACTTCCATACGCGACTGACCCTCTCCAAAGAGCTTATATTCAAATTCTCAAGGTAGGGAAATATTCGCTGTTGATTATCCTGACTTGTTGGAGTACTCTTGATCTCAAATATCACCTCCACTCCTTGATATTTCTCCAACTCAAGCTTACGGAGGTGATGAAATGAATGTAAGAGACAGGTTGGGAAGAGAGTATTCTGCACAGGTATCATAACAAGAAATTTAACTAGTAACTTTAATAGTTAAGATAAAGTGGAAATACCTCCACAATTTGTAACTGAACATCCATTCACAATTCTTTTTCTTAAACATTTAGATTTGAGAAGGATCATTTTTATTTTAAGTATTATTGTAAGGAATATTTGGAAACGACGGATATAGTCAACAACTTAACAACATTCCAATTTGTCCTTAAAATGGTGAACATTTTGTTATTTGATTGTGACAAAATTATGACATGGAAGGGTCAAAAATATCACAGAAAGAGAGTCAAAGCACTTTTTAAAGGTTGTTTGAATAATAAATAATGAAAAGCTGCAACTGGTTCCTACCCATCAAAGAAAATTTTGGTATCTATTGAAGAAAATGTGAAATCTTTAATTTCAGAGAAGAGATGGAGTTGGTAATTTATTTTGTAGTTAGTTAAATAGAAACTAAAATTCATTAAACCATACCTCTCGTCCTTGGCTACTTTCCACCAATCCGTATTTTCTCTCAATTTCTCCCGAACCGTATATATTCATGTAGGTAAGTGCCCCAAGATCAAAATTGGTGGTGGTAGGTGAGAACACATTTCTAAATCTCTTACAACTATAAATACTTATGCTTTCAAGAGCTTGAAACCCACGGATAGGGAGACAGGAGTGATTTGCACCTTTTATCCTGCACACCTCCCTTAGCTGCCCTAATCCAACTATTTCAATTCGTCTCAAGCTGCTGCTGCCTCCTTCTCCAGTCTCACCAACACAATCCATGTCGATGTTGAATAACACTTCAATGGATCCACAATCCCTGACTTGAAGTTCTTCAAGATGACACAGCAATGGGCTGGGATTGCAAGGAAATATATTCACAAGATTTTCACAGTCCATCACTTCAATCTTGCTCAACATAACTTCCTCACCACTCCTAAAGTCACAAGGCCATATCTCCTTCAGATTCTCCATACCCCAAATGCACAGATGCTCCAGCTGAGGAATGAAAACCTGACAAAAAAATGAAGTTATATATAACTTTTTGTATATAGTTCACCAGTTATTACACATAAAAAACAGTGTGAAAGCAACATTTTTTTGAAACTTTTGATCGAAAAGATTGTTTGAACTGTATTAACATAAAACATATTTACCTCTTCCTTTAACAAGCAAGATGTTGCCGGCTTATTCTTGGAAAAAATGCTTGTGATATTTGGAATGCCTCCAATTCTCAACTTCACGATTTGTGGTAGCGCAATTATGTTGACATTCTGACATAAACCCAATAGCTCTGGTAGCTCACTCAATGATAGAACCTTCAACTTGGGGAATGTAATTGTCTCTTCTCCTCTATCTTCGGTATGTATGAGTTCTTTCATAACAAGGCAATCACAAACCTCAAGATACTCAAGATTTGAAAGAACTTTTGCAACACTGAGTGTGAACAGGTATTTCAACTCTGCACATTCTGAAACAATAAGGATTCTTAAATTGTGGAATGAAGAGGACTGAGGACGAAGTAAGGACTTCACCCCAACATCTTCAAGATCATTCATATCTTCCACACTTAGACAAAGCACCTCCGTTTTCTCAAACAACCTGTTAATTCTAGATCCCGATACTTCACCTTTCTTGATTACCAACGTCAACGTGTTTTTGAATGAGAGCTTTCTCTTTATGAAATCATCTTCTCCTTTTAAACAACCTCCCACTGAGATCTTGAATTGTTCAAGATTCTCAAATGATAGATTCTTCCACTGAGAATTGTTTTCACAGAAGTCAAATTCCAATGCAGAAATGTTTTTCCACCGTTCTATCACTTCATTGCAGTTATCACCTGTAAAGCTAATGGTCCCTCGATAATGATCAAAACGGCACGCATAAAGCTCTTCAATCTTGACCAGTTTTTTGAAGATAGAATTATCTATACAAAGACTATCACAACCTGTCACATCCAATATCCTTAGCTTCTTCAAATTTCTGATTGTGGAAGGTAGCGATTTAATGCCAGATTTAGCAAAGCTAAGCACCTCCAGATTCAACAGGTTTCCAATAGAATAAAAATCAAATGCCAATGAGCATTCATGGACACAAAGCATTCGAAGGTTGGTGCAGCATTCAAGTGATGAGGAAAGCATAGGATACATCATATGATCAAATGATATAACCTGAAGATTTACCATTTTTTCGTAAAAGTTTCGAGGAAACCTCAGCAACTTATCTCCATGCATAAGCTTCAGAATTGAGAGGTTTGGAAAGTTGAGGTCACTATGAAACTCAATCATACCCTTGCATGTTAAGGAGATTCTTTTGCAAGAGGCGCTCATGTCATTTTCAGTTTCAGGCCATCCTGGCTTACTGCTACCATGGTTGATAATCGAAGCATGCTTGATTGAATTAGAAAACATATCCAAAACAAAAGAACGCACCAGATCGTGCATCTTGACGCATCCAACAACATCACATTCAATCAATAAATTTGTATGAATGAGCCGCTCAATGCAGGCGTTCAGCTGGTATCTTGCTTCTCTTATAGTATCCAGTCCCTTGAATAACTTTAATCCCCAACCATACCTCAGTAGGTTCTCGCTAGGAATATTGAAATCCTCCGGAAACAAACCACAGAGCAAAAAAGTAGCTCCAGTCACCTCGTCTTGAAGATTGTCATAACTGGTTTTAAAGACAGCTGGCGCAACTGTGTTAATGTCATGGTGCTGTAAACGAGAAAGTGCATTCTTCCATGTATCCTTGCTTTTACTTCTAAGAGTGCAGGCCATGGTTTTAATGGCAATGGGTAGACCACAACACTTCTTTACAATTTCTTCTCCGATCTTATGGAGCTCAGGATCGACATCATCAGAAGGTTCCCAAAGTTGGCAGAATAAGCTTTGTGCTTCAGCTTCCTCTAGGACACTCACCTTGATAACTGAATCAGCTTTAACTCCCATCTCAGTGCAAACGGCTTTGTCCCGTGATGTAATCAAAACCTTGAAGTCGACACCTTGATTTGGCAAACGACTTAAACCAATATCCTCCATATCAACGGACTGCCATACATCATCCAGGATTACCAGGAACTTCTTCTTTCCTCCATCTGAATTGTTTGTGAACCATTTACACAGCTGCTCAGTTCTTGCTGGCTTAGTGGTTTCGGTTAGATTTATACCAAGGTACTCTGCAACAGCTTGCTGAATAGCAATGGGGTCCGTCTTTTCCCCTATAACCGCCTCAACATAATGATTAAACATTTTCTTTGCTATCACAACCTCTTTCAGCTTCCTCATCATTGTAGTCTTTCCGACTCCACCCATACCACATAAGGCTACCATGTGGGAACTGTGATTGGGTCCAAGTGATTCTAGTGCTTCCGTAAAAGTCTTCTCTCTTGAGCGGAAGTCATTTCGATCACTTGATGGTGTAGATGTGCATGCAATGGTGGAATCAATTCTCCCTACTGGAATTTGTAGTTCAGTACCTTGGATAGCAGGGCATCGTCCCAAAACACTTTCGATCTCCTTAAATATCTTGAAGGATTTCCTTCCGAGCTTGTGCCTACTCTTGAGATCAAGACAACCAAGGACTTCACTTGGAAAGTCTTCCACCTTTTCGTTCATCTTTTCTACTTCTATCAACCAAGGGTCGACTTGGGCAGGAACCTCAAGACGTCTTTCTCTGTTTTGCTTCTTCTGGGATTCCACGCCGACTCTTGCAGCATCCAGATCCTTCAATTTGGCGTGCATATCCTTCACATACTTTTTGTAGGAAATTAGGTAATCCAGTTGTTTTTTAACCGGAACCATGAGAACTTGAACAACTCCTCTCACTATTTCAATAGCAACCTCCATTGCTGGCAATTCTCACTTGTGGTAGCACCTGCATACATTGTATAGTAGCCAACAAGGTTAACAAAGGGAATTCGATGGAAATCTATAATCGAGCAATTACATACATCCTAAATTCATTTCACTGAGTATATGGTTGTATTAACTCTGGCCCATAGACGAATAATGTTAGTTTAACCTGTAGAAAGTGTTATCTCATAATCTAGACCTAAAGCTTTGATAATGTTATACAAAATGATGGTAATAGAAATCAACAAAATGGCATCCAATATGGTCAACTTTTTACGGATTATTTATTCTGTTTAAAAAAGAAAAATCCAAAGCCATATGAAGTTTGAATGATTAAAAGAAGATGAATCTTTAAATGTGTACTTGTTTATTTATAAATGTAAAGATAAACAAAATATGAAAGTATGAAGTTGTGATAAGCTAAGTCCACAATGACAAACAAAGTTTTGCATAGTCATTATTTGCATTTAACATCTCTCTCATCATCTAGGTTGAAATGAAAAAAGACCCATGTTAATGACAATTACCATGTCTGAATCTACCAACAATTAATGTTATCCAGATACAACATTTTCATAGTTGTAGTTGGACATATTTTGCAAAGTATTGTCTAACAAAATAAAAAGTAAAAAAATTTAAAACACAATGCTATAATGGGATAGATTTTGCAGAGTACAATGCATTAATACAAAAAAATTAAATTAAATTACAATGCATTAATATGGGAAATGAAAATTGAAAATACAATTTTATAATAGAGAAAAATAAAAGTAAGATTTTATATTGGAATAGAAACAGAATTGAAATATATGGAAGTTGAGGCTAATTGCAAAGAATTACAACCAGATATAGTTGATATTAGCTTAGTGTTTTTTAAACTAAAAAATCAGATTAAAATTAAAACAAAGTTTATTCTGTGTTCATACCAAATTTATGGATTGCTTGTAAAGTAATACACAATATTAATAAACAAAAACAATACCTGGCTTTTAGTTTTAGTCTTGCAATGTTCCTCTGGCAAACAAAAGGATTCAAAGTCTAAAAGAGGGTAAAGAAGAAAAGGTATTGACTACTGACAGGGTTTTATAATCAAAAGTTTGGGAGGTCGTGTGGGTTTGGTGGAATGCTCACGCCTTTCAAGTAAATTTTTTATATCAACTTTTGTTTTTATTTCTCATATACTACATATTAACAAGTTAAGAGATCGAGATCTAACATGTGCTCACCACTTGGTTTCCTAACCACCCATTTGCTTATATATTTTCTTATGCTTTCCGAAATCATGCAGGTACAGTCCACAAGATTCATTTGTTGCAGTTATGGTCCCTGTGTCAAACCTATTTTACAAAATTTTGCATAAAGGTCCTTAAACTAAGTAAGCTTAAAATAACTAGACGTCGTAGTTAAGAAACTAATCATGTTTTGAGTGGTGCTTAATATTCTGTTTCTACTTATTAGCTGCATTTTTGTTATTATTGCTACCCCATAACTTTGAGGGTGTTTGGGATTACTTTTGAACATCAAAAGTCCTTCTTGTAGAGACACTTTTTGTAAAATGGCTTTTTGCAAAAAAAGGTCTTTAAAATGTGTTTGGATTGGCAAAAGAACTTTTTATTTAACTTTTATAGGTAAAACAACAAAAAGTCACAAAAACTCATATTTTTGTGACTTTTAGAAACTTCTTATTTTCATCTTACCAAAGGTCATTTTCAAAAGATATTTTGAACTATCCAAACAACTTTTGGCTTTTTTTTTTTTTTTTTTTTTTTTTAACTTTTGGAAAAGTTAAAATCCAGAAGTTATTTTAAAAACAACCCCAAACACCCTGCTGACAACTCATACATTTCCTCAAATAATGTGTTTCACCACTATATCAATTCCACTCTTCTTTTTACTATACAAGTGACCTCCCAACACTACATTGTTTTCGATTTCCATCTTTGAAATCAATGCGCGAGTCTCCCTTACAATGTGTTTTCAACATCAAATTGAAGGATTTTACACAGGGCAAAATACCCTTTTTCCTTGCAAAAACATCGAGTGCATGAAGGAACTTATCTTGGCCAATTTTGTTATCTAGCAGCATACAAATAAGAGATTTTTCAGTAGGGATGCAGTTCTGCTGTTGAAGCATTTTATCATACAGTTAGAGTGCATTGTCACCAATTCTCCTTTCGTCTTGGCTTTTATATTTGCCAGCTTTAGGCTGACTTAATGATGGCATAAGCACAGTGGAGAATTTCTGATGTGTAAGAACTCGTTTTAGCTGATCTTGATATGGTATTGCTACCATCAATCGGTGAAAGAGAACATTTGAGAACGCCTTTTTGTAGTAAGCTATGTTTGGAATAGAATTGCAAATTTGGGAAATCCGATTATGGAGATCAGTTATTGCACCGGTGACGTGTTTCTTTTTCAAACAATTACTGAAATCAGAGCAGCTTGCGTAAGGTTTTGTTGTTATGTATCGTTTTCCTCAGGTTCTTCATTGTTGTTGAGGACAAGGTTGTCTGTGCGCCAATCGGCAGAAGTGAAGCGGACGTAAACGGTGGTGGACTCGTCGCGGATGGTGGGGCAATTGTGTAATACTTGATTTAAGAAAAAATTTCAGAAATGGTTCCTGTTGTTTACAAAAACTCGCAGGTTCAGTCCAATTTTTTAAACAACAAGCAATTTTTCGTCATTTTAAGAAAAAATTGCAGAAATGACCGGACAAAAATGCAATTTTTCTTTATGTGTGTTTTAGGTCCTTCAACTTAACTTCCATCTACTTTTGCCCGTTAGTACCATACATATATGGGGGTATTTTCATCATTTTAGGTTGGAAACGATAGGGGCCAACTTTGCATCTTACTCTCTCCTTTTGTATAAGACCCAATTATCTCTTTTGTCTTTGTCCTCTAGCCCAAGGTACTGAACTCAGAAAAAAAAAAATTAATAGACAAAGGTGATGTGGCGATTTGTGTCTTGGGATATAAATTACATATTTGACCATCAACACCAAGGATTGTCACCTAAAACAATAGAAACTAAATAACTCCATAAATATCCACGAGCAAAATAGAAGGCTAGACAGATTTTATATTACAAAACGACGAATTCAAACGATATACACTTTTATTATACAATATAAGAGTCACTACAATATTAATTTTACTTAATAACATGTAACTATACTACATAAGCGAAATACAAGACTTGAAACAACCTGTGTATATAACTCCTTCATAATTCAAAATCCACATTTTGTGTGTTTGTAAAACAAATAAATTACCAACATTTTTGTAACAATTATTAGGTTTTATCATCGGGTATGTCAACACTTGCAACAATGTTGGCAGATTGTCTTGGAGTTGTTGACTTTCCTATGTCACTTGGTTTGACTTTGACTTGAGCATCTATTGGTGGTTCGCTTGTACTCTTTGATTTCCCGTGTCCTTTGTCCTTCTTTTTAATATGCTCATGCCAATTCATTAGATGTTTCGATGTGTGATCATCGAAAATAGACCTCTTCATTGTTGAACCCATCTGAATTTGTCATAATAAACATATTTTGTTTAGATGCTTAAATCAAAGAAATAACAATGTACTTCCATTTTTTTTCTTCCTATTACAAAATTTTGTATTTTGAAAAATCTACCTTATTATATGAATGTCATCCAATTCCTATTGCGATAACTTGGGAGATTTTTGAAAGTACAAAGTCTTGATGAATTTTTTTTTAGTAGAATGTTATGATTGAATAGATTTTTCTAAGTAAAATGTCTTGATAAGAAAAAAAAAACAAAGGAACAATGTTGCAACACAAAGAAATGAAAGTTGGACGTTATAATAAATAATTAAAAAATGAAAGTATGATGCTATTTTTATCATATGGAATAATAAGTCTACGATTAAACCTCAAACTTGTATCATATGGAATACAACAAGTACCTGAGTTACAAGGGCATAGAGTGGAAGTATGCTGTAACTGCATAAGCCTTGCACGAGAACTCTGTCAAAATAAACATGAAATATCAACACAGTTTTATAATAATTAATAATCTAATTTGAAGAAACAAATTAAGAAATGGGTTTCAAACTTACCCTATAACGACTCTACCATATTGAAGAAAAGGATTTTCGTAAAAGCAACTATCAAGGCCAAATTCATACTGCAACAGATAAAAAGGACATCTCAAGTAGTATTAAAAAAATGAAACTTAATGAACAAATGTTGGAATGATTAATAATAATTACCCATATCCAAAAGAAATGTGTTAGCTCAAATGAATTCTGCAAATAAATAGAAAAAACAAATAAATCACTTAGTTGCATTTATTAATCATGGTTTTATTTAAAAATAATAACAATAAATTATGCAAGACTGAGCAATATAGAACTTTCATATTGGTTTTTTTTGCAACAAAACTAAGGAAACAATCTCACTTTAGCATACTTTTGTCTTTTTCATTTAAGCAAAAGGCTAAATGCAATAAATAGCAACGTATTTCCATTTATTTGTTTATTATAGCATCCGACTTTCAATTCTTTCTATTGCAACATTTTTTACTAAGGCACTGTACGCTGATAAATCTACTCGATTATATCATCGTACTTGTATTTGGGTATAATTTCGGTAGATTTTTCAAAGTATAATACTGTAATACGAAGAAATGAAAGTAACATGTCATATTCTTTGTTTATATACTGTAGCATCTTACTTTCATTTCTTTCTATTACAACATGGTACTTAGTTAAATCTTTTTTCTTATTAAGGCGATATAGTCTTAAAAATCTACCCGATTATAGGAGCGGAAATTGGTGTAGATTTTTGAAAGTATAATGTTGTAAAATAAAATGAAAGTAGGTTGTTATTAAAAGGAGATGAAAGATTATGTACCTGAAAGAGGGTGAGTTGAATAAGGTATAGAATAAGTCTAGGTTGACTAAACCAAAAGTGTCTGTCAGAGAGTTCCACAACGGGTATCCCTTGTGTCACCGATTGTCGTTCTTGAATTTCAACCGCCATTTGTGTTACAATTGCTTGAAGCTTTGTTCCAACCGCTAACAGAATCTTTAACAATTTTTTTTGTTAAAAGACTAAAATACCCTTAATTATATACATATTGAAAAAAAGGGGGAAATTTTAAGAAAATTTTCAATTTTGATAATTGAATTCCATTCCATGTCGTCAGATATTCCAATTCCTTTGAGGCGTTGACGTAGACGAATGTTATGGGCCAAAACTAATGTTGCTACTACTTTATTATAGTTGAGCATTACCCAACATATTAAAGGTCTTGTTTAACTTCAAAAATTCAAATAAAATTATTGCATTTATTTTGGGTAGAATTAATTTATGACAAATAAGAATATGAATGAAAGAATATAGGAGATGGATGCTTACAATTACAGGAAACAAAGAGAGATAAGTCATAGCACGAGCTCCTGCAAATGTTTCCAATAGAGTGAGTATAGAAAATTAATTAGTGAATAACTTTTTTAATCAGTGTATTTGGTGTGAACGTTTTAATTATTGTACTTAAAAAAAATGTATAAAAAAGCATTGTAGTTAACAAGTATAAATGAAAATAAATACAAGTTAAAAGTATCATGGTAATGCAACTATGACATTTTTTTTATATTTTTGGAAATATAGTACATGGCTAATACATCAAACCAAATACATTGATTAAAAATTTATTTATCCTTTAAATATATATAAAAAAAAGTGGAAATCTCACCATCAACATTTGCAAAAAGGAAAAGCACTGCAGTAGCCCATAATATCGGGCTGGAAGCATCATAAAAAATGGTCAGATAGATAATAAATAAAAATAAGAATGTTACAGTATTTTAATTATTGCATATTATTTTCGTTATATAATTATCATTATATCTTTCAAAATGCAATAATAGCAAATACTTAGATATTACAGATAAATAATTACCTGATTCCTACAATTACTTTAAAGTCGTCTTCTAACGACCTCTTTATATATTTTTGAAAGTTGAAGTGACTCCCAGGAGACAAATGAACCTATATCAAAATTGGAACAAAAAAAATAATCAGTAAACATGTTTGTAATTATTGCATTACATCTTAATACATTTATAAAAAAAAAAAGTACGTAAAGAAACCCTAACTAAATATTATATTTGTAAAGCTTAAAACATTATAATCAATGTATTTGTTATTAGGTTAAAGAACCATTTTAGTTGCAAATGTCAAATTAAACCTACACTAATGAAATCTTAGGACCATTTTTGTAATCAAATCTGAGTTAGAGGTATATTTACTGTATGCACCCTGAATTATATAGTGAATTCAAAACTGGTCCTCCAACTAAAGTGAGATGTTCTTCAGAAATCTGGAGGGTGGTTAGTTTTCTTTTCTCTATAAAACCATGATCGCCAAGTAACATCTCACGTTAGTTTGAGGACTGTTTCTGTCATCATGACATAGATCAGGGCATAAAACGTAAATATACCTCTAGTTTAGATATATTACCAAAATAGTCCTAAAGCCACATTAGTGTAGGTTTATTCTAACAGCAGAAAATTGAGAAAATATGTTCAAGTTTTTCAAGCGCACAACTTTTGTGGGATTTTAGCAATTGCGATGATGGTGACAATATTCATAACTCTTAAATGAATAATACACAAAGTAATAAAAAAATATTATCATTATACTTTATTATATAACTTCTATAAGAATTTTGCAGTTGCAGAAAAATAAAAAATAAAATAGCATTCACGTAAATCTTTGACAAAAATATTTTAAACTTACACAAATACTATTTTCTTTTACATTTTTTTTTTGCAAGTATAAAGGGTGTCTTAGAAAAATAAATCAAAACTAAAATAGTTATAAATGTTAACCACGATATATATAAAAAAAAAAATGACATTAATTGCTTAGGTTTGTAAAACTCACAGAGAAAAAAGCATGGCGCATGGCCAAGTAATCTGATCTACGAACTGATGTAAAAAATTGCCGAAAGAAGCAAACCTGAAATTAAAATAATAATAATAATAATAATAATAATAATAAATAATTATAAAAAAAAATGAGAGAGAGAGAGAGAGAGAGAGAGAGAGAGAGAGAGATTTAATGAGTAATTGAATTTTCTAATCATCATAATATTTTCTAAAATACAGAAAAAGGAACACTAAAGTATGCAATTGTGAGTGCTCATAACTATCATACCCATAGTTTTCTTACAAATTAACCATTGAAATTGTCAAAAATCACTCACTAAAATACTTTGTGTATGTTATTTTTTTATATATAAATTTAAAAAACGATTAGTGATTATAAAACTAGTTCACTTTATTATAACTCCCTTACAAGGTAAAACATTGCCGGAGTACTCGTAAAAGAACCAGTGTGATGTTTCACAAAAGATAATTCCTTGGTAAGCTTATACTTTGATGGATCTGCACATGAGCATATAGGGTCAAATTAGTCATTTAACATTGTTATTCAAAAATCAACTAAATTCATAGCAAATACATGATGATAATATTAATAGTACCTGCGTCATGGGGTACAAGTTCCTCCAAAATCTCCTTTTCCCATAACTTCCACTTACGTGTCTGCATTATTTAAAAAAAAAAATTAACTTTTATTTAAGTGAGCAACATTTTTTAAAAATAACTAAATGAGTTTTTTAAGGTTGAATGTGCATTTTAAGGCTTTTGCAAATACGTCAATGGTGTCTAATGTAACATTTTAATAAAAAAAATAATATTATAATATGTAAGAATAAAATTAAGATTCTAACCTTTGCTCTTCCAAAAATCATTGTGAAGGCACTATAAATTACATGAAACACGGCCAAGAAGAATATAAAGATATGCAATTGATGCAATCCAGCAACTGATATAATCTCCTCATATCCCTAGTCACAATAATGCAATTGGATTAAAATTTTGTATATGAATCATTATAACTGTTAGAATATGAAAAAGTTAAAATAATAACTGTTACTTGTCTTTAGCTTCCAAAAAACATCATTTCAGTTGTACATATTTTTTTATTCTAAAAAAACACATTTAAAAACATGGAGATTATAGCTTTGATAAATTCAAGACATATTTAAATAAAAGTAATATAGATTTTGTTTACAACGTCAACATATAAGAATTATAAATTTATGAGATACTTAAAGAAAGGTGATTTGATAGAGATTCATAAATATATGATATAGAAATTGAAAGCGACTTAACAAATAATGGTTGTGTTTAGCTAGAGTCCAAATAAAAAAAATACATCTATGAACTACAAAAATAAAAAATAAAAATTAATATGTACATCCTACCTAATAAATGAAAGTTTTTTGCTACGTATCATTACCTAATTCAATATGCCACATATCATTTTTTAATTTTTTCAATTTCATTTAAAGCCAGTTGACAAAATGTGATTTTTTTTGGCTTTTTATTAAATTATAAAAAAATCTAATCTAAAAATATAATAAAGAAAATAAGGAAACTTAAATGTCTCCATAAATTTTCACATGATTTGTCAATTAATGTATTAAATTCAAATCAACTTTCCTAATTGAAAAACATAATTTTCGGTCAATCCCTTTTGAATTCATGATAATTTGCAGAAACATTGCAAAAATTGGTTAATTCAAAGTTAATATTGATATTTTTTTCCAAATTCGGTTTTATAAATTATTAAACATGTAATGCTTAACAAAATATACTAACTTTAAAAAAAAAAAAAAACCTATGTATTACACGGGTCTCATACCTAGTATAATTGTATATAGATTCTTAAAGTTTTTGTAAAAATAATAAAAATAAAAACGGTTCCATGTAAATTAATACGTATGTACAAGTATACGTAAATAATCATAAAATTATACATTATGAAATACTTAAATAAATGAATTTTTGGGAAAGCGGATGGAGAAATAATTTAAATGAGGGCCAATTGGTAATTAACCAAAGTGTTACCTCTTTGCATTCTACGGGAGCACCTCCTCCCAACCTTCTTTGTTCATACCACAATAATCTCCTCTTAGCTTCCTCATCATAACCACCTTCTCCATCTTCTTTAGCATAATCTTCTTTCTTGCATGGCAAGAAATCCTTCGTAAGCTTCTTTGAAATACAAATCGATGCAATATAGTTCTGGCAAAACACCAGAAGCAACGAAATAAACCCAAGTACCATAAGCTCTGCATGCAAATCGCAAATACGTCATCAAATTAAACTATATACCTTTAATTTTAGAATAAAAAACAATATTAAAAGAAAAAGGTACCATTTTTAATCTTGTCAAGTGCTTCCAACAACCCTGCTTTTTTTCGTTTTTTAAAAAGCTAAAAAACAGAAAATCGTAGATGAGAAAGGCGCAACAAAATCAAATCGTGTTTATGTGATTTCATGATGAGAATTAGGATAATTACATGATGTACGCTATGAAGAACATGCTCCAACCCAATTGAAACTATGACAATGATTGCACAAACAACGGCAATGGACCACGTTGCCGTTTGATCGAACCCTCGTTCACCTGCCATTTTTTATGCGTTATTTCTGATCGACGTTATTGCTTCAAGATCATCTCCTTCTAATCTGTTCTTGATTGTTTCTTGGTGTTTTCTAGTATGAATTGCAGACGATTTAATTGCAATTGATGATTGAAAGAATTCCCATTGATTCGATTTTGTTTAGAAAGGAAAAAAAATCAGATTGGAAATGGAAACGTGAGATAGGATTTTTTTTGTTATGATTGAAGAAGAACGGATTAACGAGAGTGTTAATAGGGAATTTAGTTATGAGGTTTCAAACCATGGCCACACGATTTATACTTACAAAAACATAATCCAGCATAAAACTTCGTAACGTTATATCATCTTAAAAATCATCATTCCAATTTCTAACCATTTCTTTTGGAAGACATTTGGCAAAAATTTAGACACCAATAAAAGTCTAAACACGTGTGGATTCGTTGGGAAGATTAATTAGGTCCAATTTCAAGCTCGTTTTCATCCTGATTCAAGCCCGAAATGAAATTCATTACTAAAGAGAAAGCAATGTTTCCAAAAATATAAATAAAAAAATCGGATTTTTAAAGCACAATTTTAGGGCATTCGGGAAATAAACTTCCGACCTCCAACTCTGTGGTGGTTTTGGTTGCCTTCAACAACCAAACAAGGGGCTTTTCACCAAATAAAACTAAAAAAGTGCACGAAATTATGAAGTTATTTAGTGATGAAGACGATTCATACCTTTCATCACTTGTGCGAACATTATTTCGGAGTAGATATTTGCTAATATATTAAGGTATTTCGCGCTCGACCCTTGAAATCTCCAATCTCCATTGGCTTGGATAGTAGAGATTCGAACGGACTTCAATCTTAAAGAAGACCTGTAAATCTGCAGGTATCTTGCATGCGTCCATGGCTATGTATGTATTATGTAAAGCATATGCATATGCTTCTCTTTGATGTCGTGAAAATGCAGGTGGTTTTTCTCCTTCAGGTTTTTCTCCTTCACTTTTGAGTCGGCAAGTTTTGTATTTGTGCATTTTGGGTTATTTTGAGTGATTTCATTTGCATAAAAAAAATAATAAAAAGAAGTAAAAAACACAAAACTAATTTTACATTTGATCATTATATCCGTTGAGAAATTAAATATTTTTTTACTATTTCTTCCTACAAATCCTCCAACCCAATTGAATAGTGACATGTGTATCATTTAATGTTTATTTAATGATATTTTATTAAATTAATATGACACATGTCATTATTTAAATGGGTAGAAGAATTTGTAGAAATAAAAGTAGGAGGATAACTAATTTCTCTAATCGGTTACTCCAATTACGATCAGATCATCTATTTAGGTTAAGTTTTCAGTTTGTATACATTTAGTCATTAATAGTTTTTTTTTTTCTTTTTTTTGCAATTATTGTTGTTTTTTTATGGGAAATGACACATTGGCCCAACCATGTATTTTGACATTGTGGGATCAGTCATATAACTTATTTTTCTGTTTTATAAGGGAATAAACTCTAAAGTGACTTGTATTTTTAGTCCATCTAACCTATATTAGCCAATTTCATAAGCCACTTGAGCATTTTTCCATTTAAAAGTCAAAATCACATTTTGACTATTTGTTCATTTCTCAAAATTCATTTAAAAGTCAAAATCGTAGACTATGTCACCCTCCAAATCGGCCCCCCAAGTTCTAGCGAGGTCTCAATCACCAAAATCATTGGAACCGATAACTCTGCTAATAAACTCAACAAAAACCTTATATGTGATTGTATTGGTATTGTTGCCATATCCTCATGAAGATGCTCTAACATCTGATCCGTTGGCCTCTCTCTATCTCTAGAAAAGGATTTACCCCTCAGTTCCAACGTTGCTAGCGTCGTCATTGCGGTAACCGTTGTTAATGAGTTTTTTGTGGAAAGTTACCTACATTGTATTTCGTCCTCGTAGGGTTGGAACCGAAAGTTAAAGTATCTGGATACCACACCTATAACGTGCCGGCAATCACGGTTGGTTCATTCTCGTTTGGAACTACAATCCTTTACTGTTGATTATGTTGCAGTTAGGTCGACAAAAACCTCTACTTTGTCTTGGTGAATCCATAATTTGAAGCGCCAACGAAGAAGACGAGGGCGTGGTTACCGAAAGAGATAACAATGTTGCACCATGAATGGACCAGTAGTCAAGTGGGTGCGTTGGTGGCAACAATTTTGTAGGGAGATCTGAAAGGGGTTTGGAAAGGCGTTGTTTTTTAATAAGATAGTAGAGCCGAGGAGGGTGCCATTGATTTTGGGAATGGATGTTGTAGAGAAGGTTGCATTTAAGACAGGGGCTTATGGGTGTACGATCAGTGGAGCAGGGCCAACTACGGTTTCGGTTATAGATGATGAGGGAAAAAGGAGGGAGATTAGGGAGAATATGGTGGAAGCTTTCATGGTGGAAGGGAATTTGAAAGCTTTGGCTATGGCTCGTTTTTTTAAGTAATACAAGGGAAACAGGAAAGCTACTATTGAATGTTGAAAGGTTTTTTTTTTTTTTTTTTTTTTTTTTTTTTTTTAATTTCTTAGATGATTGTAGGTCAATAGGATAAGTTTGCCCACGAAATGGTCAATGTATGATTTTGAATTTTAAACGGAAAAATGTCTAAGTGGCGTTGGAAATTGTCTAATATATGCTAAAGGTACTAAAAAGACAGACCACTCCATGGTTTATTACCTTACAAAGCACGAAAATAAAATAATTTATAGGACTGATTTAACAGACTACTTTGGTTCAAGATAAATCAAGAAAAATTAGGTAATCTATTAATAATGTAATGTGTATTTGAAGAAAATAACCAAAAATATGTTTTTGGTAAAAAAAAATCACCAAGTCCGGAAGGTGCATTCTAGACAGAGAAAATAAACATTTTTTCTAGCAGAGAAGTACATTTCAAACTGGCATTCCAGAAGTCCACACCAATATTTCGGATTCCGGATTGAAATTACGAAGTTGGGGAAAAAAGAACTCCAGAATACAAGTTTTAAATCAAATGAACAATTCTGGAATTTCAAGAAGCAAAAAAACAGTTTTTACTTAAATCAAACAAAAAGTTATTCAAACTTAGTAATGTGAACTATATATATATATATATATATATATATATATATATATATATAGAAAGAGAGAGAGAGAGAGAGAGAGAGAGTTAGGTTCAAGTATTCTAACTAATTATTGTACATATATCGTATGCTATGAGAATGATAAAGAACATATGTTGTTTGATAATATAAATACGTTCAATCTTACATAACTATTGTCATTAACATACATTCTCACTAATTAAATCGTTTATAAGGTTATTATACACTTATTATTATTATTATTATTATTATTATTATTATTATTATTATTATTATTATTATTATTATTATTATTATTATTTCTGTCAGAATGTTTTATTGGGTCGTATTATGTCAGAATGAAAATGAGTGAAAAACGATGTGTGAGAACAAAAAAAATTAACGAGAATGCATGAAAATGACGATATTCTTGTAAGGTTGAATGTATTCGCATTGCTAAACAACTTATTCTCTTAGTAATTCTCATAGCATACGATAGATGTACAATAATTAGTTTGAATAGAATAATCTAAGCCTATATATATATATATATATATATATATATATATATATATATATATATATATATATATATTAGGCCATGAAATCAAACATTTGATTGAAAAACGGTGACATTAAACACTTCGAAATGAGCATTTCATTTATAAATAAAGATATTTATTTTGAAAAAAAAAGAACTACAAAATTTGAAGATCCCAAATGTTAATGACTGGGGGGTTAGATGATGAAGAAGTCTCGGAACCTAGTCGCCTCGTACGAAGCTTGGTTTGCTTCCTTAACTTCTTTGCAATCTTCTCTATCTCCGAGTCAATTGGAAGTGGTGTACTTGTACGGAAAGATCTAGGCATAAACAATTAGTGTCACACCCCCAAACCGGAACGACGGAAACATCCGGGGGCGGATGATGTCATTATAGAGTACCATAACAATTGAATATGAATGAAACATAGCATTACAAGTGACATACATTGAGAATACATACTTACATTGTTTACATATTGTACTTGTTCATAAGTTACACAAAAGTGACAAGAAGTAAAATTTCATAAGGTTGCACCACTTGACCTCATAGCAAAGTTGATTACCTGTTATTGAATCCCTGAGAATACAAGTCGTTTTGAAAAGTGCCAACAAAAAAATTAGTGAGTTTATAAGAATTTTTGTATAAAAATGGTTTTGCACTTGTTTAGAATAGTTCTTGTAGCTCTTTTAGAAAATCCGACATTTTCTATGAAAATGATTTGTAAGTCTCGTTCAAAAACTGTGGATATATTCATGCATGTCCTTTGTTATCTTTTGTTTGTAAAAGTAAAGTGAACGTTCCCAGAAAATCCAATATTTTTTATGTAAGAGAGATTGTAGTCTTAAACCCTAAGACCGGAAGTGTAAGAGACTGAATACTTGAAAAATGATTTGCAGCTTTATAGTTTAATAAAACCGATGAAGTGTAAGCTTCCCGTAAAACAAAATCGTATTGGTATTCCATATGTGAGTCGCTATAACCATGCTTAATATGACTGATATGCATGTCATGACGTTCTTCAGGCGTCGGTTTCGGTAAGATATTTGTCACCCTAGACTGGCCTCGTCTAGCTGTAGCGAACACTTCAGGTGTGGGGGTGTCAACTCCATATAGATATATACACAATTACCTCGCTCTCCCTCTAGGAGACTCTGGTTATAACTGCAGGACTTACGATGTACGCTAGGTAGGTACGGCAAAGGAAAGTCTCACAAGAGTCTTAACAGATTTACGTGACCTATGACTCATTTTTCTTGTAAAATGAAATAATTATACCTTTGAGTAATTATATGTCCTCTAAAATGAAAGTGTGGTCTGTGACTCCCAGACTATACCAATTATAGTTTATTATGAATGTTTTGTTAAGTCCATTTATATAATCAAATCTATAATCACATGTAAGTTATCATGTCTAGATGTTTTAAAAGATTATAACACATAAACTTTCATCTAAACAAAAGTATAAAACATTTAATATGATGGGGACAATTTCTAGTTTTTGACTTTTCTGTCCCTGTTTTTAGAAAAATTATAGAAAAATCACCGTAAGTCGAAATTTGGATCCGTAAACTCTGAAAGTTTGGAAAATGAATCTACTTTGTTCATAATTTTCAATGGTCTCAAACCAGTGTGAAAATGTTCATCTTCACAGACTGGTCCGAAATCATTTCTAAAATGTTAGACAGTTTTGTAAAAATCGCCAAAAATTGTAGAAAAATCGTATGAATGCGTGCGAGTAGTCCTTAGAAAAGTATAAAACTGAAATATTTTTATTTTAAACAGTTTTGAAAATTATTAAGTTTAAGATGGCTAAAACAGTCCTTAAATAGACCACAACTTTTCTGTTGAAAGTTGATGTTTAAGTTTAGGCTATATATGTTTGAACACAACACTCATTTTTGCTATTTTTAGTGTATAAACCATATACACAAGTTTTCATGCAATATCTATATTATCAAACACATTTATCATGATTTTTATAAAGATGTATAAGGTAAACTCCGTGTTCATGCAAATACCCAAAGGTTAAACACATAACACAATGGTCCATGCAATTATCCAACGGTTAAACAAAAACTTAACTTGTATTCCCCCCCCCCCCCCCCAAAAAAAAAAGTATGAAAAACTAAAAAAAAATGGGGTATGAAGCTCACCTTGGAGTTTTCGAGTGGTAGAAGAAGAAGAAGAAGAAGGGAATTCCGAGCCAAGCTTGTGTTCTTGGTGAGATTCTCGAAATGGTGGTGTTTCTCAGTGCTTAAAACACAACAAAATTGTGTAAACGGAATGTTCTTACCAAAAGTATGTAATAAAACACTTTGAGTTTGACATGGACTTACCAAGAAGCCTAGGATCGATCTTTGATGATGATGAACTCAAGATTTTTGAGAGAAGGAGGAGGGGAGTTTTCTTGAAGCTAAGTGAAGGAAAAATGAGGTTGTGAGGTATATAGGGGGGGGGGGAGGGTAGGCTAAGAGTATAAGAGAGTGGAGGGAAGAGGGTTGACCTTGCTAGAGTTTGATGGGATATATGCCTTGATGCATGGAGGTTAAAGGCTTGGAGGTATTCTAGACAAAAATGAGGTGGCATTGCTTATTATCCAATCATTTTTCCCTCTCTTTTCTTTCTCTTTTCTTTTTTTTATTAACCCATAACCGACGCATAGGGTTCTCGGCCCAAAAAGAAATGGTTTCGATTTTTGGCTTGGCCCAATAAGAGGGCCCAAAAGAGTTTCCGGCCGAATATGAGGTTTTCGGCCTAACAAGGCCCATTGAAGGAGTCTTGGTCCAATAAGGGTTTTGGGTCGAGAATTCTTGGGCCAAGGCCCAAAACTGATTGGACTTGACTTATTGGATCGAGTTTTGGACTTGCATGAGGTTGTTTCGGCTTGAATCACAATGCATGAACGTATGAACCTAAATAACATGGTAGTTTGAATTTCACTATCTTGATGAAATAGGGTTATATAGAAGGAATGGTTTCGTACAAGAAGTCTAAATCTTAACCCTAACTTGCTGGTTATGACAATTAGTAACACCGTGTCCCCGACAATGGCACCAATTTGTTAGGCATGTCAAACCCAACAAATAAAGGGGTACAAATGACTCCAAAATACACTACTACTTTACCCTAAAAATGTAATACATGGTAAGTAGGGTCGATCCACAGAAACACAGAACAAGTGCTTATACCCTTCTTGCGTAAGGTACAAATGTGATCACAAAAGACGGGGGATTTATATGTA